GATTGAGACGTAGATTGCCTCTATTGCAACCTGTGAGGAGAAAGATAGCTTCAGTTATATGATGATCTTCTCCCTTGAGTGGCTCAAAAGGATGCTTTCACCTTCTTTTCCCTGCGAAAATGCATATGGCAATGGTGAATACATCCCTGCTGCTCTTTCAATGTAAAGGACAGTTCTTTCAATTGCCACAATAGGCTGAACTGCTGAAGTGTTGGTGGTTCCAAGGAAAAGAACAGCAGAATACATGGCTCCCAGCAAATTCATCAGATCTTGGCTTTCAGCTCTGTATAAACAAGAAGCCTGCAACTCCTCAGAAAGAAATAATCAATTTACATTGATGGAGAAAAAGAAGAATATATGGCCTTACATTTTTCCTCCTTTTTTTTGCCAGAAAATCAGTCCAAATATAAGACCGACAAAAGTTGTGACGAAGAATCTGATGGCATTGTATTGTGGATTTCTCCAGTGTGAGCACTGCTGTCTCCAGAAGCAGGCTTTGCATTGAGTAATGAAACATTCGGAATACTTAGTAGGGAAATGAAGGTCCTTAGATCCAGGCACTGGTGTACTTGCTCTTTGATAAGCTCCTGATTTCTTCTGGTGAAACAAAACCAATTTCGGCAACAGCAAGGAAATGGAAATAGAAAAAGACACAGGATAGTTTTTCAACTTCAGTTACCTATAGAGGTCAGAATTGGCATAAATTTCAGCAAAATCTACATAAAGTTGAGCCTCAACCACTGTAGAACTTATTTCCAGCATCCATGTAGCAGGATTGTAGCCATCATTGATCTTTAGAACCCCAGGAACAGCCTGCAAATGATCATAATATCATTTTCCTCGTTTTGAATTAATTGTTAAAGCTCTTAAGAGCATGTATTCAACAAATGCTCACTTCAAAGTATTCTATAAGCTTGTGAGAATGGCGACCAAGAGATCCAGCATAAATGACTTGACCTCCTCTCTTCATCAAAAGCAACTGCAAGAAGAATTGACATTAGTAAGATAGTCTGAGCAAGAAAAGGTTTCTAAAACTGGATTTAGATACTATCTAACTCAACTTACATCGTCGAAAGCTTCAAAAATATCTATGCTTGGTTGGTGAATTGTGCAAACAACAGTCCTCCCTGCATCCACTGTGTTTTGCGTGGTATGCATAACAATGGCAGCTGCTCCTGCATCCAGTCCTGATGTAGGCTCATCCGTGGAGATGATGGACGGATTAGCAACCAATTCAACAGCTATGGTGAGTCTCTTTC